CGGTCTGGCCATCTTGATAGTCATGCTTCGATTCCGGGACTGATTGCCAAACTTACGCACACGTGCAGGAAAATAGACTTAAGAAGGCAGATGCCCGTGTTCAGAGTGTTACTGAGAGTGAGTTTCTTTTCCTATCAGACTTGTCTCCTCAAGCAAACCTCTCTTTCAGTTATGAACGTTCTTCGCATGGTCAAGCTCTTCGGTTGGGAGACTCGAATGGACGAACGTATAACCTCCAAGCGTGAGAACGAAATGATATGGATCAAGTATCGACAGCTTCTTGATCTCCTCAATGAAGTTGTAAAGTGCGGAACACATCTTCCCGATCTTAAGACTTGGTCTAACCTTTAACGTCAGCTTCATCATACCGGTCATTACTATGATCGCCACATATGCTGTCTAGTGAGTGTCTTGCCATTCGTAGCGGAGCTAAGCAGTCTAATTCTCCCTTTAGCGTACTTGCTTTCGTTCTCTCCAGTGATTGTCCCCCCCCTCTGACTACGCTTTCAAGACCATCGTGATGAAAGGAGAGCTTACAGCCTCTATTGTCTTCTCCAGTATGGCAGTCTTCGAGATGCTGCAGCAGCAGCTTCACGAGATCTTCAACTTGATCACGACTTCTATCGCCGGCAAAGTGTCCGTTGACCGTCTAAACGATTTCCTGAAGGACGTGAGTTGCACCAATACTCACCCGGCATTGTGCTGCTCATTTTTTTTAGACAGAGCTCATCGATGCTTTCGCCGGCGACGCAACCACTGGTGGTAATCTGTGTATACCTGCAGGCGGGATGTCGTGTCTACCATGATCGGTTTTCAGAACGCGTCCTTTACATGGTCTAGTGATGTTGATGGCTCACTTCCACCGTCTAAGCGCAAGTTTTTGTTGAGGATTGACGACCGCCTAACTTTCAAGCCCGACGTCTGAACCTCATCGTTGGTCCACGGCTCCGGAAAGACATCGCTATTAATGGCTCTGCTCGGTGAATGATGTTGCTTCTCTCTGCATACCTCTAACAACTCACGATGTGTCAACTAGGCGAGATGCACTTTATCCGATCGGGTCAGAACCTTGGTATAACCTTCCTCGTGCAAAGGCATCGCGTATGCTGCACAAGAGTCCTGGGTTCAAAACGAAACGATCAAGGTAGGTCTCTCTGGAGTGAGGTTACGTTGATTGACCGTTATTCAGGCGAACATCATATTCGGTGCTCTCTTTGACGAAGCTCGCTACAAAAAGGTCATTTATCAGTGCGGACTTGAGCGAGACATCTCACTGTTCGATGCTGGCGATGAGACTGAGGTTGGCGAGAAAGGACTAACATTGAGTGGAGGGCAGAAGGCTCGCGTCACTTTGGCAAGGCATGTTATGGCGTTGTTCCCTCGGTCACAATGTGCTAAGGTCATTGTTCTAGGGCGATCTACTCGACTGCAACATCATCCTGCTGGACATATCCTGGCTCTTCGAGTGAGCGGATATCTTCCAGAATATGATCACTTCACTGACGGCCCCCAGTGTTCATACTGCCAAGTGGATAGTCGAAAAATGCTTTGCCGGAGATCTTGTGAAAGGAGGACAATTATTCTAGTGTCAGTTTCGCACATTGGCCGCTGCGGTTAACTCTTATCCCTATAGACACATAATGTTGCGCTTACGCAACCCATGGCGGATTTGTAGTATCTGTTACGGATGGTGTATCAGTGCGCAAGGTTCTGCATCGGATGTCTGGGTAAACCCAGAGTTTGAAGGACGAAACTACGGAGGACGAGCATCTCTAGAGAAAGGCGCTCAGGAGATCGATGGTCCTGCAGATAAGAAGGCTTCCGGAAAGCTTATTGTTGCGGAAGAGATGAGGAAGGCCATGTTGGGTGGCCTGGTCGTACGTGTACTCCTGCCGTGGTTCCCGATCTCATATTTCGGTCAGTTCAAACTCTATTTCACTGCCTGTGGAAATCATGTCTGGATGTACTTTTTGTCCGTGATTGGTGCTTTGCCCTCGTAGAAAATGTTCAACGTCTCCCAACGTGGTGGATTGGGTACTGGGCTTCGCAGTACGAGCAAAAGAGACGCGGCGGAGATATCGGTCCTCTAGTAAGTGAACCCCTATTGTCTGGAAATCGCGTCCTGAACACGTTGTTCTATCAGTTATCTTGGCATCTACAGTGAGCTCAACGTACATTTGATCCCTACTCCGTCGCTAACCAAGTCCCACCTGTAGGCTCCTTAACGGTCGGCGCAGCCATTTGTTATACTTTCACAGTCGCAGTATTCGTGTACGGGACTCTGCGCGCATCTAGATCCCTCCATCATCAAACTCATGCAGTCGATCCTTGGTACAACTCTTCGGTGAGTAAGCTGTGCTTTGCCTTCACATGCATCATTAACGTGGCGTAGATGGTTGGATACAACTCCTACATCAAGAGTAATTGCGAGATGTACCCAGGATATTCAAGCAAGTCAGTATCTGTCCGCGCCGAAAATGCCGCAGCTGATGATTCTTCTAGTTGACGGGCCCGTGGCCATGTGGTTCCAGTTTCTGCTTAATGCCTCAATGACTTTGATCGTCAAACTCTGCGCGATCGTCATTGTCACGCCTGTCTTCTTGGTACCTTCGGCTGCGGTTGCCATCGCCGGTATTCTTTGCGGACAGGTCTACATGAAAGCGCAACTGAGTGTTAAGCGACAAATGGCGAACGCGAAGGCGCCGGTGCTTGCACAGTATGTTCGTAGTTAACTCGTTCTCATATTTTCCTCACCACTTGAGATAGTTTCGGTGCGGCTATTGCGGGACTGAGTAAGCTACTTTGTCAGTCGCGTTCGATACCGCTCATTCTTTCATAGCGTCCGTGCGCGCCTATGGAGTGCAAGAAGCCTTCATCAACGAGTCTTTGCGCCGTATCGATAGATACACGCGGGCTTCAAGAGTTTTCATCGACTTGGGCCGTTGGATATCCCTTCGCATCGACTCTCTTGGGGTATATTTGCTGCTGCCTTGGCCACTTATCTGGTCTATTTCAAAGACCAAGAAGCAGGCTCAACTGGCTTTTCTCTGAACCTGGCCAGTATGTACAGTTTATTTCGTTCTTGCCTCAAGTGCTTAGTAACGTGGCGTGTAGTTGGTTTCAGCGGTCTGATCATGTGGTGGGTTCGAACTCTGAACATGTTCGAGGTGCAAGGTACTACGCTCGCATTCTGCTCGTCTGCTCTTTTCTGGGTCTAACCGAATGTAGGAAACAGCCTGGAGCGCATTCAGCAGTACATCCAAATCGAACAAGAGCCCAAGGCGACAAACCAAGGAGAGCCGCCTGCTTACTGGCCTGCCAGCGGTGATCTACGGGTTGAAAATCTATCTGCGAGGTATTCACTTGACGGAGCGAAAGTCTTGCATGACATTTCATTCCATATCAAGTCTGGCGAGCGTGTCGGCGTCGGTGAGCTGCCTTATGCCTGGAATGAACACCGGCTTATCTGTATCTATCCTCTCAGTCGGCAGAACCGGGTCCGGAAAGAGTTCCTTGACTTTGTCCCTATTAAGATGCATCTTCACCGAGGGTAACGTTTACTACGACGGTCTATCTACCTCATTAGTCAATCTGGATGCTCTTCGCACAAGCATCACTATAATACCTCAGATGGTGAGTCATATGTCAATGCTTGTTCTTACACGTCGTGATAGTTCTACAGCCGGAATTGTTGAGCGGCTCTCTGCGCCAAAACCTGGATCTTTTTGATCAATACGATGATGCCTCGCTCAATGATGCACTCCGAGCCGCCGGCCTATTCTCTCTTCAGGACGAAACCGAGGAGGGTCGTGTTACTCTCGACAGTACGATCTCAAGTGGCGGAGGGAATCTTTCTGTCGGACAACGTCAGATCATTGCTCTTGCTAGAGCCATTGTTAGAGGCAGTAAACTTTTAATCTTGGATGAAGGTTGGGGTTTTGTTTCTATTCCGAAATACGAGCCTAACGTGTCTCCGACTTTCCAGCAACCTCTGCGATAGACTACAAGACCGATTCGATCATCCAGTCGTCTCTTCGTCACGAGTTGAAGGGTGATGTTACCTTGATAACTGTTGCACACCGGCTCCAGACAATCATGGATGCGGATAAAGTTGTGGGTGTCCTAGAAGAAATTTATCAAACTGATTACTAACTGGCGTCGTAGATGGTACTTGATGCCGGAAACCTTGTTGAATTCGACTCGCCGACGCAACTACTCAGGAATGAGAAGGGATTCCTTCGGGCTTTGGTCGACGAATCAAATGATAAGGCTACATTGTATGCCATGGCGGAGGGGCGACATGCTTAGTCGAGCCGCGAGCGTAGCGTGCGTTTCTCCGAATTGTCTTTTCAGTTTCATCTCGCGCAATGTGGCGTAGTACTTATCCTATTTCAATCTGACTGCGGCTTCTGCAGTACAACGATTTTGTGAGAGGTGCCGGTGGCGAGTCGAAGCTAGAGTTAACTTTTACGACCTTCAACGAGGCGTAAATTGAAGCTGGCTACATAAGCATCCACGAGCGGCATGAAAGTCGTGTTTAATGCGGAATCGTATCAGGTAGACTCGACTGATCGGCGAGAACGATGAGCTCTATAGTGTGGTGGTAACAGAGATAGAGATGTGGGGTTCCAGACTGGGTGATTGGGGAGGGTCGGCGCACCAAGTCGCGTGCACCGAGCATATGCTTCACCGACATTAACGCACGTCACGGCCGTAATATCATACCGGCATCGTGGCGCGTACACGTTTGGCAACCGACGCGCTGAGCCAAGACCCAGACATGCAAAGAACGTCCATCGATAGTAGCCCAGATCCGTGGGTGGTCAAATGGCACTGACGGGTTCAAAGACTACGCAGGCGTCGATTACTGGTCGTCCTGGTCGTAAGAAGATGGGCCGTCTCGATGGCCAGAAATGCGTTAGTATTGTATGTGGCGGGTCTGTAACTCAACGTGATGTACTAGTGTCACTGTCACCCTCCCGCTCCTTAGTTAACATGCATCTCTGGTAGTATATCGGTTAGTACACGCGCCTGTCATGTGACGGTAACGGAAGCCTTGCGCGCGAAAGCTGGGTTCGACTCCCAGCCAGAGAGCTGTTACGCTGCATCCTGGTCCACTTTTTGTGTAATGTTCGCCTGTCAAGACTCAATTTCTCAATCACAACAATGAGCACTCCGAGTCAGCGCTCAGCGCTCTAGGGTGGCGCAGTAAACCTCCGGGGGGTGTTAGTAATGGTATTGATACCGACCCCCAGGAGGCCCAGGTTTTGAAACCGTTAGTAACGGTTTCGATACCGGCACGTGCTTTTACCACGTGATGTGGCGCACCTTTCCGCCGCCCTCTGCCCGCCCTTATCCCGCCACTTTCAGCTTGCCTGAGCGCCAGCGCACCATCACGTGAATTTGTCACGTGTCGGTATCGAAACTGTACCGATACCTCGGCCGAGGTTTCGATACCATATTCATACCGTTAAAAACCGCAGTAAACCGGAGGTGTATCAAAACCTAGGGTTTACTGCGCCACCCTACAGTGCTCAGCACTCTGTCTCACGGAGACTGACATGAGAAACACATCAAATTGCTTCAGTGCTTCGGTACTGGCTTTCTGTGTGTCTCTTCCTCTCGCACATTGACATTCTTCTTTATCTTCTTGGTCGTCCATGCACAGGTATGCAGTGTGTGGCCGGATGCCTTATCGAGTCTGGCTGTGCATGCTTAGAGGTTGAATCTGGTTAAATAGAAATTTTTGCCCAAGTATCCCCTCAGAATCCGACCTTGGATATCCTCGATGGTCAAGGAGTGTGGCCACGTAGCCCAGATGTTATGTAGTCACCTTTAGTCCGAGGATTCGTGATCATCTTTTTTTCGGTTGATTTCACTGTCGACTGCCTTCCCATCTCACAGCGGTGTTCAACTTCTTGCTCTTCTTTCCTTGTTCTTTCCGCATCTCGCCGAAGTTGGCAATCTGACATAAAAACTAATGCATAGTGTATCAACTCTGGCCCATACCCAGAGAGGCGAGGAAAAAAGAGAATCGAATGCATGAAGTCCGAGTCGGCTGAACTACGTGACCACGGTTGGGAGTGTATATACGTCGTCTGAATGGACACAACACACTCGAAAGCGAAAGCGTTGAGCGACTTGGGTTCCCGAACGAATCCGTATCCAAGTCATCATCGATAAAAACGAGGCCGCATATGTTCGATCCTATATCACGGTCTGACAAGTGAGCTATCCGACCGTGATGGATGGTGAGAATCAGATATGCTGACCTTTGTCACGGGTATATTGACCTCGTCCCATCTCCGGGCAAGACTAGGGCCCGATGAAAGGCGAACACTGGTAAAAAGATCAAAAGAAGCTATGCATGTCGGCAGCCACGAAAAAAAATTATCTTGGAATCATATGCAATGCGAGGAGGGAATGATAGCTGTTACGCTATGCGACCCACAGTTGGGGGCGAGTAGTAGTCGTGAAAGTGCGATGACGAGTGAGTCGACGCGAGGGCAAGAAAACAGTATATGGTGAGGGCCCCGCTGGGGATGAAGAGGGGATGATCAAACCGGTGTCACGGAAGAGGTGCAGACATTATAGTAGGTCGCCTGTACAGGATGGTGTGGATAGCGGGGATTGAATGGCGCAAAAAACGTACGGATATGTTGAAGAAGCAGGTTCAAGAGGAAGTGCCGATGGTGGATAGTAATAGTATCCTTGGATGCAGCTCGGAAACCAAGTCTGCGCCCCACTCACGGCCGCTGTCACAAGCGCATCAAGTTCCGCATCACGAAAAAACATTGATATTGCGCAGACGCATCACAAGTTCAGCTCCGTAGCTTCTCAGCTAAACGGCCACAATATCGCACTGCAACTCCTTCTTGTACCACGTCCACTTTGCGATCTGAAGGTGTAAAACAATTTCGCACCTACACAAATAGCCAAACTCGATGAGGCATCTGGCCATACAATGAGAGCTTGTACTGTGCCAGCGTGGACAATAGATAATATATCAACAACGGCATGAGTAAGCGAGGGCGACACAGACGAGCAACGGATGAGAGAGAGGGAGACGAGGACGCGTGCAACAAATGAGGGATGCCGCCGGAGGTATCGGTGAGGAGCGTGTGTGAGGATAAAACCGTGCACGCCACAGACAGGCAAGCTTTGAAGAGTAGACGCGGGAAGAGACGCCGAGGGTACGGCCACCACGCACCCGTACCTCTTTCAATATTCCGACCATGGGATGCGGCATCCTCTTCCTCCTTTGAGGTGCTCTTCTACAAGTGACTTCCTCCTTTCACTCGTCCTTCGACATGCTCCTCCGGAAGACGTCCTCCTCGCTGGCCTGTATCCATGAGGTGGGTGTCAGTAAGTGTGAGGCTTGGTGGCGAGGTTGTTGCCCCGAGGAGCGGGTTGACTCGGAGGAGGAATACGAGTTGAAGACGGCGAAGATTAAGTTGCGTCCCATAGTCGCAATGAGAGTCGCGGACCCGAAGGACACGTCGTCGGGGTTAGGAATAGCCAGCCGCGAGGCCTTGTCCAAGGATTGCACGTATTCTCAGTCAGGCGTAAAAAGAAGCAAAAACTGGAGATAGAAGCAGACACAATGGCCAGACACGATGAACTATCTGGGCATACAAGCGAGTACGAACAAGGCAGTTTGACTCAAGTAGACCCGTCGCGTGATTGCAAAAATTGCCATCCGTGCTCGTCATCAGAACGGTGATAACGGCTACGCCATCCGACCGTGAGCATGGATGTTGATATGGGATTATTTGGGCTGGGATGATGCCAGTCAGTCTTGATCTTAAACCCAGGTTGGGCGAAGAGAAGACGTACTGTGAGGGTTCTGTATTTCGATCTTGAAGAGGATGAATTCAAGACTGTCAAGTGTAGACTGGAAGGAGAACGACGGAGGAAGATGGTACTTACATGTTGCCGAAGGAGATAAAGGATGAAGAAGACGAGAACGAGGCAGAGAACTTGAAGAAGCCCAGCGAGAAGGAATGCTGAAGAAGACCGGGACACAGTCCGCCTCGGTTGAACGCACAACAAAGAAGATAGCTATCGACAAGAGGGTGACGCGCTGAGGTAATTGGAAACAAAAATGATGACATCAATACCTACTACTAGGTAGAGTAGCCGCTGTGCTATCCGACCTGCATCGTAAGTAGTAATCAGGAGGAGAATAAGAGACGTCCATTTCAAGTTCAGAGAAGCGGTGATAGGAAGGAGGATGTAGGTTGATGTTGCGCACACTGAATATCCTAGTCCCGGCATGTATGTCTAAAACCGAAAAGCTCACGGTGCGCGCTCAAAAGACAGGTCCGAATCCCGTCGTTCAGCAGCCGGCTCGTCGCCCAAGTACTCCAATAAGCCGGTGTTGCTCATCCCGCCGCCAAGTGCCCGTAGGTAGTTCCCCCGCCGTTGAGCACAGCGTCGAACTAGCCGCCATCCCGGTGTTTGGTGAGAGGAAGGAGTGCGACGTACGCGCTGAAGGGGAAGCGATGAGAAGCGTGCGCGTTATGACTAGAGAGGAGGCAAGAGGGCGCGGCGCCGTCGAGCTCGGTGCGCGATTGCATCAAAGTACGATTTCAAACTCCGAAGTCGATTCTGCTTTCGTCTTCCCCTCATCACCCGTCCGCAACTTGCTGCTCTCAGTGCTGGCGAGCACTTCAACATAAGAATTCGACCGCGGAAAACATGATTCTTTTCTGAACGATCGCGAAACAGTGGTTATGCCGACAGACGAGGGTCAACACCCATTAGGGAGGACACTTGGAGCGGCGCGGAGTGGAACCACTACGACGACGGGTCCCTGCCAGGCGCGGTATGCACGACACGACGAGCCGACCCAATGTACTGAGGACGCTAGGCAAGGGCCACAATGCCACTCACCCGCGACGACGATCCGCTCACGGCCGCACAACGATGTAACCCTTTCCCGTCATGATGAATTCGATAGCAAGCATGGATTGTTGGTATTACCACGGGGTACGTGATCTTTCAGCCCTCGGCCGCTATGCTCATGCCTAATTCCAGCACGCGTCCAATACGTGGTAGGTAGGTAGGTAGGTAGAGACGGCACCAGGTCCCAATTAGGAACGGCCGGTTGTGAAAACGTCAGAGGCGGGCAAGACCCTGTTTTCACACAGCAACTGAGTGGCCGTGAGGATATCTCCGCATTTAAGAAGGTGCTCACGGCTCTCTCGCCGCTGTTTCAAAGGCGCGAGGCCTCGATACCAACGTAAGGCTGGTTGCCCAACTACGGAGGGGAATACGGGAGGCAGGAAACAGTTATATTAATCAGCTCAACAGTACATAGTGGTATTAGGGGATGTAATCCGAATCAGAGTCGCTATCGCTTTCCATCGGGGGGTTGGCCTGTCGGGCACGAGTGGGCGTACAACCTGGGACTCTCCTGTGCCATGTCCGTAGCACCGGCAGCGGCTTGTCATGTCGTGGCCGTTCGAGCTCGAAGCTTTTGAACAGCTCCATTACCTCATAGACTAGCTTAGCCACTGGCGGTAGGCATATATCCTGGAAAATCAGGCCCCGAAGAATCTCAAGAGCATGATCCGGGTCTATGGGGCACAGAAGGTCGAGGTGTGGCAGACTAGGCGCCAAAAGAGTTAGTGCAGCGTTGCGTAGGGCTACCAGGTCCGGATCGCCTTCACAGAGCAGAATGGCATGTTCGGGCGACTCAATTGATGATCCACAGAGCCGACAGAGCCTCTCATCACGAGGGACGAAAGGATGATATCTGTCCGCACGTCGCACATCAGGAAAACGGTAGGGTTGTCTCTGGGCGTCTCTGCGTCTCTACGGAGATGCCAGAGCCATCAGAGACGTTCAGAGATGCCTTATCTCCGCGAGATGCGTACCTGTCTCCCGGAGATCATTTCTATCCCTAACCCTTGCTCTGGCCAGCTCTGAGAGATGGCTTACGTCTCTCAGAGACACTCAGAGACAGCAAGAAGCTGCTCAAAATTTCTTATTTTTTGCTCATTTTCGTCGCACATCAAGTAGTGAAAAATAGTAGCATTTAGAAGCATTAAACTAGGGCAACTAACATTGATATAAGTCTTAGTACTCTA